ACGACGATAACGGTAATGAGGCGGTGAGCATCAGAGGGCGAGCCCTGACCACGATTCTCGACAGCCACGACGGAGTCGATCGTTCCGTCGGAGATGAAGGAGGATCCATTTCTTCATCAGAAAATCTCTCGATCTTCATTTTTCTTTTCTCTTGATTTTTTTTCTTTCTCCTTTTCCCCCAGCTTTTCAAGTTTTCGGTAGAGGAGGTAGAGAGTGCGGAAAACGCTCCAACTGGCCGTTGGATCCAACTATTCACACTCCCGATAAGTAACTTTAGGGGTGTATGAAGACTAAATTACCCTTCTCCCAAACCAAACCAGACCAAGTCTAAAAGGATATTTTCGGCAATCCAACTCTCAAAGTTACTGTTTGGGAGTGGATATAGCAAACATGCTTGGCGTTTCATATGGACACGTGCTTAATTATGTGACAATTTGAAGTCTAATAATTCAAGGGTTATTTACATACTATTCCCTTACGTCTTTAATAATTTCATATTAGTTCCTCAAATCCTTGAAATTATCCATAGGTCCTCAAATCCTAATGGGTCTTGCAATTTGATCCCCCGTGACAAAAATATTCTCCCATTCTTTTCTTCTCCAACATGAATCCCTTAAATCTCTACACTCAACTCTTTCTCCAGCCCCTACTCACCCTGCCTTTGACATTCCCTTTCATCGTCAGCCTCTACCTCCTCTCTCCAATACCTTCTCCACTTTTTTCTCGAGCTTTAGGAGGAAAACGCTTCTGGCTCTGTGGTACCTAATGGTGTTAGGGATCTGTTCAATTAAAAGAGGAGCTATAGGAACACGAGACCACTGATAATTATGCTAAGGTCGAGCCATTTATTAAAGTGTGTTGGGGCACAAGCTAAATGTCTAGAGAAAGAGTTTATCAAAAGAGGTCAGGGAGGGATGGCATGGAATCGGTGTCGATTCGATCAATATCGAGTACGAGGAGGAGGAGACCAGCGACAAGATGTTGAAGAAGAAAGGATAATGGTATTTCGGTCGTAAAGGGACCAAATTGGGAGACCCTTTAAGATTTTTGAGGAACTTAGTGCGTGATTTCAAAAATATGAGGGACTAATATGGAATTGTTGACGATGTGAGGGGCTAATAGTTAATGACCCATAATTTAATGACGAGAGCGTATCGGCATATTGATTCTCTCCTCCTCCTCCTCTTCAGTCCCAATTTCAAGACCAAAACCAAACCCTAGTAATCTCTTCTCTGTAGCTCATCGACCTTCTATTTCATTCAAATGGGTCGCTAATTGTAGAAACCCTAGCATCTCCATTCTCCAACCTATAAGAAGCTCCCCTAGCTCTAATCCCTCCTCCTCCTGTAATGGCGAAAGCCAAAACTCTTATGCTTCATCGAGAATTTTCATCAAGGGTACGTCATGTGCCTGTAAATTCTAACTTTTCGTTGGGGCATTAGTTCAAACACTTTCAGTGCGTTTTTTTCTGGGACGTTCTATTGAACTAAAACTGTTTCAGATTGATTTAGGAATTTCGTAATGGCGTACGAGTCCCGAGAAAGTAAGAAAAAACTACTGAATGTGATACTATTGAATGTGATTTAAAAGTATAAAATTTGAACATTGCTGTTTTTGCCAGCAAAAGATAGCTCTTTTCCCATTTCTGTTTCGTGGCGATAACTCCAACACTAGGAGATGTTAGGCAATACGTTAATGCTCTTTGTTTTGCTTACTGTGCGTACTGATTATTTTCCAAAAAAAGAAAACAAACAGATGTCAGGGTTCATCTAGTCCCGCATCAGCTATTTGGGGTCCCTCAAACAGCTAGCTTTAAGGAGTGAGTTCTCATGGGTCCTATATAAATTGTATCAGAAGGCAGGATGTGGATCTAGGATTTTTTTTCTTTTTCATTTCATTATCATTTTTTTGGTAGTCTTGTAAACACAGGTAAAAAGTTGCCGCATCCTTTGCTTGATCTTCTGTTTGCGTACTACCATAAAGATGTTCCGCCAAATAAGCTTCTTGAGACATTCACCAGCACCACTGACCAGAGAGTTCTGTGAAGATCTCAACATTGCTTATGGTTATGCAGCTAGAGGCAATGTCTCAAGTCTAAATGTAGGAGTATAAAATTATAACCCTCAACCCTCACCACAACTCCGGAGTTTTGATGCATTAGAAGTGACCTTTGTCATGGTATCATAGCAACTCAGGTTCAGTTCCACCGGTTGTGAAATTTAAAACAGATTTTAAGAGAAAAGATATGCTGCATGAGTCCAGGTTGTAAACCATCGAGAGGGTCCTCATACTGTGGGGACATTTTAGGGTATAACATTTCAACTCTCACCACAACTTCTGCAGTGCCAGGGAACTTTACCATGATATAGAGAAATCAAGGATTAAATCCCACCAGCCACTCATTTAACGTGGATATAAAACAAGATATTGTTGTATGAGACTAGGTTCTAGCCCATAAAATTATAACCCTCAATACTCACCACAGCTCCTGAGCTTTGGTGCAGTGGAAGTCACCTTTGGCGCTACAAAACATACCAATTTATGCATGGGAAAAGCTCAAACCCAGGACTGCATTTGGGCCTGCATTGCATAGAGGCCGGCTTGCTACTTGACAAACATTTGCCCAAAAAAAAGGAAAGAAAGAAGGGGGAAAAAAAGAAGGTTAAAGAAGAAGAGAAGAGGAGGCTCTAACAGATTATTCTAATCATAATTTGCATCATTAATGTTATCATGTTACAATAGTTATATACATCTAACGTATAAATCAAATTTACAGGACTATCACGCTCAACCTCTGAGGGAGTTTTGGTGAAGATCTTTTCCACTTTTGGAGATATCAGAAAAGGTGAAATTATTGTTTAGTTCTTCTGCTGCTTGTTTCTGAAGTTGTGTTTTGTGAAATTATTGTCCAGTGCTTCTGCTGCTTTGTTTCTGAAGTTGTGTTTTTTTTCAGTCAATGTTGAATAACATATAGAAACCTCCAGGTCAAAGGAGCAAGATTTAATATAGAAGTAGTGATCTCTTAGTACATCACATCATTATGTGCACTAAGCAAATTTTGGTTTCTTAATTATTCACTGTAGAGTACCCTGCAAGGCTGCAACTATGCCAATCCATATGTATGTTTACGTACTAATTTCGTCTCATAATTATTTGTAGTTAAGGTAATTACAAGCAAGGGCTCTAAGGAATCTTTGGGATTGGCGTATATATGGTTTGCTCATGAAGAAGATGCACTGTCGTCGGTAAAGGAGATGGATGGAAAGGTATTAGTCTATTGTTACATTGCTTTTCAAATAACTTTGGAACCTGTATATTTTTTGACAATTTGTCATATTTAAACCCATCTTTCTTATTAGAACTTTCCTTTCAGTTTGTTGATGGAAGGTTCATTGCTGTAATGATGGCAAGACCAGAAGGCCCTTCCAAGCAAGTGAGAGCTCTGCCCTACAAATTTCGATAAAAAAATCTTGAAATTGGTGTGCATCTTCGTGAGTACACTGTCCTTTCCACTTTAGGAGATAAGGAAGATATTGGAGCTTTTTGCAAACAGTTATTGGTAGCAAATGATACTTTTTTGTTTGCTTTCGGCTTAAATCACTATAGCTTACTCATGAACAGAAAGTAAATTACAGCGTATTATCTGGAGCATGTGTAGTTTGGAGCATATATTCATTCAATCTCTGAACTATTGGTTGATGGTGGTCCTAATGGAATATGATCTATTTCCTCAGTTTTACATGTTCATATGTGAACCTGTTCTGCGCAGTTGGACATGATAGGAACCAATAGAATGGATAACTCCACTACAGGCTTGAGGCAAAATACAGACTTTAATTTGGATACTGTTGGATATTTTGTTCATGAAAAAGGCAATTTTGCCTTTACGAATAGTCCCACAACGGAAAATGGAAAGAAGTCGAAGAGGTTTATATTGGTTCACATCATACTGGGCTTTGAGTAAGTGTTTTGGGCCTTGTACTGTTTGGGCTATTGCTATCACACGCGCACGCACGCCACGACTTGCCTCGCCGCGCGCGCGCCACGTTGCACCGCACACATTTTTGTTTCTCAGATCTTTTATTTTTACCGTTTCTTCCGCGTGACCCGTTCGTAAAGGATGCGGAGTTGGCGCGGGGAGTTACGCGGATCCTGCGTAACGGATGCGGAACCGGAGCAACGGCTATTTGCTCCAGCCAGCGTTCTCCTCCTCGGAAGACACAGAGAAGAAACGATTCCTCCTTCTTCCTCAAAGTTTTTTCTGTTACCGTGTTCATCTATTTTTCGGGAAACCATCTTCGTCTGAGCAGAAGCTCCACTACTCACGCCCGAGTACAAAGGCCGGTCGTTTTCCGATCCTCCTCCTAGCGGTAAAAGCCACCGGAAAATGGCCGGTCTTTGTACTCGGACGTGAGTAGCAGAGCTTCTGCTCAGATGAATATGGTTGCCCGAAAAATTAATGAACACAGTAACAGAAAAAACTTTGTAAAAGAAGCTTTGAGGAAGAAGAAGGAATCATTTCTTCTCTGCGTATTCCGAGTAGGAGAACGCTGGATTTTATATAGGGGCTAGAGGCGAATAGCCGTTGCTCCGATTCCTCATCTGTTACGTAGGATCCGCGTAACTTCCCGCGCCAACTCCACATCCGTTACGAACGGGTCACGCGGAAGAAACGGTAAAAATAAAAGATTTGAGAAACAAAAATGTGTGCGTGTGCGGCGAGGCGTGGCGTGCGTGCGCGCAAGCGTGTGATAGCAATAGCCCAAACAGTACAAGACCCAAAACACTTACTCAAAGCCTAATATGATGTGAACCAAATAAACCTCTTGGACTTCTTTCCATTTTTCGATGTAGGACTATTCACAAAGGCAAAATTATCTTTTTCATGAACAAAATATCCAACAGTCCCCCCTAAAAGGTAATATTGAATGAAAACTCAAAATCAATAAATATAAGTTAATAAATCATAAAAAGGATATAGGTTGGGCAACCTTTCGTATCGTGAATTCGGGAGAGGTGGCTTTCGGCTTTGAACATTTTCTTAGTGAGTTTATCGTCACCAGAGGGACATAATGGACTAGGCCTTGACCGGGTGCAGTCGTGATATCACTATTCTAGAAGATGGATCTATTTTATTGTTGTTAATTGAAATCTGAAATTAATTGCTTTTAATTAGTACATATTTCTCTATTATTTCTGTGTTATTTAAAAAAATATTTTTCATCGGGTTTACTATTCACCCGAATTTTCTACTGTTCTTTTTATTTCCCTGCTAATTAATTGTTGTTAATTTATTATTTCTAATTGCTTCTTTTGTATATATATATTAATTAATTGCTTTAATTTGTTTCTTTTTTTATAAAGTTTTAGATACTATTCATGCGAAAAACATCCTTTTGTTTCTGTTTATTTATTATTCATTCAAATAGTTACTATAAATATTCCTTTGTTATTTATTAGTTTCTGTTAAAAAAAATTCTTTACTGTTCATTAGATTAATTAGTTAATTAATTTATTGTTGTTTAAAACTCAAAAAACTAGTTTTATTATATTTAAAAAATATATATTTATTGCAATCATTATCTTTTGCTAGTTTACAAATCTAGTTCATATCCTAAGTCATAATCCTCTAAGTTACTAGTTGAGTGGTATTGACAAAACATTTATTCTTTCATATACTAAATACCTAGACTAGTAAACTCAAATTGGACTTATGGCTAACCCTGATAATTCCAAAAGTGTCAAACCTGAAAAGATCACCAGTGTTAATTATAAACGGTGGGCTAATCAGATGCGATACTGGCTTACCACATTAGGTCTCTTATCTGCTATAGACATTCCCGAATTTTCAACTAGCGGTTCTCAATCTTTGACTCATGATCATGAACAACCTGTTCCTTTCACTTCTGGTTCTGGCGCTAGCTCCTTTTCTAGCTCTATGAAACTAGAAGAAATCAACTATCATTATTGTCATAAGATTCTTAGTGCACTTTCGGACAACCTCTATGATATATATTATGAGTTCAAAAGTGTTAAAGACCTATGGAATGCTCTAGAAGCAGAATATGGCTATGATGATACCGTAATTCTGCATTTCACCTCCTCCTTCAATAAGTTCATGATGGTTGATGACAAACTCTGATGGGGACATCCGGACACATACACGAGATTTTCGCCGAGTTTATCAGCGAAGGAGGCGCCATGTTGCAGCATTATGGTTTTGATTTCAGTTGTAATAAATTAGTTTGAAATTTAAATTTTTGAATTTCGATATTTCGAATTTTGAATTTTATTTGGTAGCTAATTAGTTGATTGGTTGTAATTGGTTAAGGGAGAGATTTGAGGGATTTAGATTATTTTCTAAATCTGTAATTGCTTATTTAAAGACCCTGTAATCAGAATGATAATCATTGATGAATGAAATTGATTTTGCTTAATCATGGTGTGAAACCCTAAGCTTAATTGATTTTTTAGCAGCCGTCATTCTCTTCCTCACAAAAGAAAACAAACGAAAATTCAAAAATCGCACTGTTCATCTCTCTCCCTCAACTCAAATCACAGAACCCATCACGTACCCCTGTTTCTCTTCAAAAACCGCCGACCCTCTGACCTCCTCCACCGCCTAACATCCGTCCCCGAGTCCCCCTACCTCCGGCAACCACCCAGCACCGCCCTACCTCCGCCTCCCGCTGGTCTTCTACCACGTTCCCTCCACTCCCATTCTCCGGCCGCTCCTCTCCCTGGCAACCGCACCCAGCCGCGACCGCCTCCTCTTCAAAAATCTCCAGCCCACTCCACCACCACGCGACCAGCCCCTCTTCCGACGCCACCACCCCTGTTCTGGCCGCCCCTATCTCCTCGTCAACAACCCCACCACCGGTTTCCCCTTTCTCCTCCACAGATCCGTTCCCCTCTCTCTTGTTATCCTTCCACTTGATTAATTCCAGAATCCACTCCTTACTCCTATCATTGCATTCTGTGAACAGTACTCCCACAGAGACAAATTTGTCTCCTCTCCTTATTGTTGTCGAGATTGGATCTGATTTTATGTGCTTTGTCAGTGTATGGCTGACCCCGATGCTGAAGACGGGCTCGTGCTAGATCCAGAGACCGGCATCGTAGATTTACAACTTTCCCCGTGGTTTGATTATCAGTCATTCGAGAGCGTGCCCGAGTACGTCGAGCATGTGACTCATCAGATCGTTGACAGCGTAGAGAGTAGCCTGAGAATCAGCTCGTGGCATCGGCGTTTCCATCCAGATACACCGCTCCATCCGAATTACGTCGCCCTCGGTGGAGAGCTCTCACCCCTCATATTTGGCGTCGTTGAACCACCTCCAGAGGATCCTCCCGTCGAACCGGTACAATCTGACGAAGGTTTAATTTTCTTACGCCCAAGTATTTTCGGAATTGCTATTGCGTGCGTGTTATTATCAATCTTAGTATCAATTGCGATTATGCTGTATTCAGTTTGAATAGTAAGCGAGTGATTCTGTTGCTGAGTATTTCTGCTTATCTAAATATTACAAATTGAACTGTATTAAAAGGACAAATCATTACATTAATTATCGGAATAATTTTACAAAGGTTCAAACTTAGTACATTGAAACTTTTGCTTAAAAACCATCGTTCGCTTCATTTTATTCTTGAACTTCCTGCCTAGATTGATTGCTGATTTGGTGAAGCATTGTTGTCGCTGATCTTGCACCTGCATTCACATTGTTTCACATCATTTTTGGTATCAGAGCACCTGGTTCTAGGCTAGGAAATTTGTTGAGTCTTTATTAAAAAAAAAAAGTCATCTCATTTAATTTTGTGCACTCATTCATATCAACTAGTTGTTAGCGCATGCCCACTCGCACGGGTCTACACTATCGATTAGGAGAGTCCAGTGAGCCAATTAGTAAGTCCAGCATGTCAGGCAGTGCAAATCCCGAGTTCGCCGAAATTCTTAAGCAAATCGCTGAGCTAGCAGGAGCGGTAGGTAACTTAGCCCAAGAGAGTAGAGCTACCAATGAAAGGATCACTAGGATCGAGGAAACACGTGTTACAACCCCGCCGCCGCAAGATCAAGGTTATCAACATAGCGCCCCACCGCTACAAGGTCAAGGCTATGGAAACATCGTTCCGCGGCCCCCACATCAATCGGTACCTGATCCGGATGCGCAATACTTGAGGAGTTTTAAGGTCAACGTCCTAACTTTTGACGGCAAGCTCGACCCACAAGCTTTCTTGGACTGGCTGAAGAGCATGGATCGTTACTTTGATTGGTACGCCCTTACAGAACCCCGAAAGGTCAAGTTCGTCGCAATGAAACTTACCGGACCTGCCTGCCAATATTGGACCAACCTCGAAACGTTGAGGCACATTAGAGGTGAGTTACCGATTACAACTTGGCGAGAAATGACCAACGAACTTAAACAGAAATACCTTCTGCCATCATTTTATCATCGGTTGCTAGATAAGTGGCATCGCCTCACTTAAGGAACCAAATCTGCGAAAGACTACGTCACATAATTTGACGAACTGTTCACTCGATGCAACACTATTGAACAAGAGGCGCCAATGAAAGTCTTGTCGAAGTTTAGAGCTGGATTGAGAAATGATCTGCAAACCGAACTCTTTGCTCGGGGAGTAGACACCCTTGAAAAAGCTTACGCGTTAGTTTAGGATCTAGATGAATCAAAATCCCATCAATCTTATAGGAGTCAGGATTTTAAAAATCATTCTTCC